GCACCAGTTCTCCTCACTCCGAAACCAGACGGCAGTTTACGGATGTGTATCGACTACCGCGCACTGAACAAACAGATAGTCAAAAACAAATATCCCATACCGCGCATAGACGACCTACTGGATCAACTGCGTGGAGCAACAGTATTCTCGAAGCTGGACCTACGGTCGGGTTACTGGCAGATCAAGATGGCAGACAACTCGGTCCACAAGACGGCGTTCCATACCAGATACGGCTCCTATGAATACTTGGTGATGCCGTTCCGACTCTGCAACGCACCAGCACCGTTTCAGGCGGAGATGAATCACATCTTACGACCCCTGCTGGACGAGTGCGTAGTGGTGTACCTGGACGACATTCTTATCTACTCCAAGAACATGAAGGAGCACGTGGAGCATCTACGGAAAGTGTTCGAGATCCTGCGGAAAAACAAGTTCTACGTGAAGCTGTCGAAGAGCGACTTCGCCCTGAAGAAGGTGCAGTTTCTCGGGCACATGGTGAGTGCTGAGGGCGAACACGTGGACCCGCGGATGATCGAAGCCGTCAAGAAGTGGAAAGTACCGGAGAACGTGAAGGAGTTGAAGCAGTTCCTAGGCTTCGCCAACTACTACAACAGAGCCATGGAGCAGCTACACACAGCACTGACTACAGCGCCAGTACTCATCCTACCGGATCCAGACAGAGACTACGTGGTGGAAGCAGACGCTAGTGACCAAGCAGTCGGAGCAGTACTGATGCAGCCTCACGGACGCAGTTTGCAGCCCATCGCCTACCTCAGTAAGAAGCTACACGGAGCAGAACTGAATTACCCAATCCATGACAAGGAAGCTTTAGTGATATTCACAGCCTTCAAGGCGTGGAGGCGATACCTAGAGGGAGCCAAGACTACAGCTTACACTGACCACTACAGCCTCAAATACCTGAAGTCACAGCCGACGCTCTCACGACGACAGGTGCGGTGGATGGACTTCCTCGAAACTCACTTCCACTACGACATCGTCTACAAGCCCGGGCTACACAACAAGGCAGACGCGTTGAGCCGCCCCGGACATGTAACAGACATCCAGCTCGACGGGATGAACCCTCTGCTCAAGGGTCTATTCCAACATGGGTACTCTGTGGACGCAGAGATTACTACGGCAAAGAAACAGAAGCTGTTACAGTGGAAGAAGGACTTAGCTGTAAGAAAGGGGTTAGGAAAGATTTGGGTACCAAACTATGCCCCGCTCCGACAGATTCTGCTGGAGGAGTTTCGCGACGTACAGTACGCGGGACATTTTGGGAGCAACAAGACGTTAGCAGGGATAGCGAAGTATTACTACTGGCCCGGGATGGCAGCAGACGTGCAGCAGTTTGTCGCCTCATGCGACACGTGCCAGCGGATGAAGAGTAGCAAGCAGAAAAAACAGGGTTACTTCAGTCTCTACCCGTACCGGAGCAGCCATGGCAGGTCATTCGCCTCGACTTCATCACAGGACTTCCTTCGACCTCACGAGGGCGTGACGCTATACTCGTGGTGATCGATAAGTTCTCCAAAATGGGTCACTTCATACCGACCAACGCCACAGCTACAGCTGAAGCAACTGCTCGCCTCTTCTTCGACCGCATCATCACCATCCACGGCATCCCCGCTACGCTCATCTCAGACAGAGACCCTAAGTTCACTAGTAAGTTCTGGAGGGAACTCATGGGTTTGTTGGGGACTAAGCTTACGATGTCTTCAGCATACCACCCCCAGACTGACGGACAGACTGAGCGACTCAATCGGGTGGTTGAACAGTTACTGCGCACAGCTTGCAAAGACGATGTCAGCCACTGGGACACACAGTTACCGACCCTAGAGTTCGCCTACAACAATGCGTCACATGCGGCCACAGGGAAAACTCCTTTCTTCTTGTGTTACGGACGGGAACCACTCACACCACAGCAGCCAACCACACCGGCACATGTCCAAGCCGCATATGACTTCGTCACCACCATGCAGCAGCTATGGGAGAAGACTCAGCGGCGTCTCACCACGATGCAAAACTCCCAGAAGCAGTATGCCGATCGACAATGACGTGATCACTCAGTAGCAGTCGGAGATCAGGTGCTTCTTGACACGCGCAACTTGAACCTGTCTCACCTACCGTCCAAGCTCCGGCCTCGCTTCTATGGTCCTTCTCGCGTTGAGGCACAGGTGACACCAGTAACATTCCGCTTGCGCTTACCTACTACGTGAAAGCTTCACAACGCTTTCCATGTTCAGCTACTGAAAACCTACAAGGACCCCAACCAACAGTTCCAGGGACGGCAGCTACCGCCACCACCACCTGTTCTCATACAGGATAAACCAGAGTACGAGGTGGAAAAAGTTCTCGCTCATCGACGCAGACGCGGCAACACCCTCAAATTCCTGATACGCTGGAAGGGATATGACCCATCGGCAGACAGTTGGGTTGCAAAAGCTGATATGGGCAACGCACGCCGTGCTCTCAAGGACTATCTTGTCAAGCAGGGTGTATCTCACACCACCCAGCTTTGAGGGGGGGACGTGTGAGAGTACGACGGCTTATGCCAGCTATGCTTGCTTGCCTTTACTTTAATATGGTATTTCTAGCATAGGATAATTATATGTAACCATGAATTGCTTGATTTCCTAGGCTAGGTGCTTTCCTATATTTTATTATAGTTATAGCACCGAGTGAGGTTGCGTGCACCAAATTCTGGGCTTTTCGGTTGCCACCGAATTGCCTTCTACCGAATTCGGGAAGGATCTGTTCGGGACGCTTCGCGACCCGCAGAACCTTCGCGTAACACCTGGTTACTGGGCCTTGTGTCGAGCCTATATATAGCCTCGTGTTGTACCCAGGTGATCATTCAATTCAAACTCTCTTTTCTGAGCTCGATCCTAGATCCTCACACTGGCTCTCTAGGAGGCGGCGCGCACGCAAGAGCCAGACCGAGAACTCGAGTGGCCTACCCTCAGCGTCAAAGCGCAGGACCCTAGGGGTCGCCATAGCGGAAGCGTAGAGGTGGATACTGCTGCTGCCGAAACCATAAACGCCTAGAGGATCCGAGCTGGGCGCGACAGGCTGAACGGAAGGCGTGACGCGACGGGACAGTAGGCCGCGATGCGATGGGACGGGTAGGACGCGACTCGACGGGATAGCAGTTCGCGACGCGACGGGCTGGGGGCGACTCGATGGGAGGGGGGGGACGAGACGCGACGGGCAGGGGACGGAACTACGGGCAGGGGACGGGACGACAGGCAGTGGACGGGACGACGGGCAGGGGACGAAACGCGACGCGTAGGGGACGGGACGGGCAGGGGACGCGACGGGCAGGGGACGGGACGGGCAGAGGACGGGACGGGCAGGGGACGCAATGCGGCGTGCAGGGGACAAAACGGCGGGCAGGGAGGCGCGTCGAGTAGGTGACGGGACGGGCGGGTGACGGGCGCGACGCGACGGGCAGGGGACGCGACGCGGCGGCTAGGGGACGGGCGCGACGGTCACTACGAGCGCTACGGGCGCTTCGTGACGGAACGGGCAAGCGCTAAGGGCGCTACAGGAGGTACGGGCGTTTCTTGACAGAACGGGCAAGTGCTAAGGGCGCGACAAGATGGAACGGACTTACCGCCGTTCCTCTCACTGTTGGACCTTACCGCCGTTCCTCTCACTGTTGGACCTTACCGCCGTTCCTCTCACTGTTGGACCTTTCCGCCGTTCCTCTCACTGTTGGACCTTTCCGCCGTTCCTCTCACTGTTGGACCTTACCGCCGTTCCTCTCACTGTTGGACCTTACCGCCGTTCCTCTCACTGTTGGACCTTTCCGCCGTTCCTCTCACTGTTGGACCTTACCGCCGTTCCTCTCACTGTTGGACCTTACCGCCGTTCCTCACCCTGTTGGTCCTTACCGCCGTTTCTGCTCCCTGTTCGTGGCTGCAGGTTCTGATGATGCTATGGAGAGAAGCGTTTCCCAACGAGACTCACGTGAGGCTCCATGGCGTTCCATGCCTCACGGATGCCGCTCTCACAGAACTCGCCAGCTTCCACTCTTTAACCTTGTTGAACCTCAATCAGAGCGATGGCTTCACTGCAGCGGGTTTGAAGGGGTTGTTTTCTCTCACCAGCCTGACATATCTGAATCTTGGGCTTACAGCCATGAGGTGCTCTTGACGGCATTGACGGCCTGAAAAATCTGGAACACCTTCTTCTTGATAGAACCGATACAACCGATGCGGGAATAGCAAAGTTGCAGGGGATGACAGCACTCAGGGCGTTGTTCATAGCTGACTGTCCGTCAGTCTCCTCTGCCAGCATGGTGCATGTGGCGAAACTGACAGCTCTCGAAGTCCTTGCTCTGAACGACACTGGGGTGAGGGAGGACGGGCTGCAGCACTTGACTGCTCTCACCTCGCTGATGTTTCTCACCTTGCCTCCAGGGGTGACTGATTCCGGCATGAAGTACCTGAGGAGTATGAAACACCTGGAGACTTTGGGGTTGTGGGGTGCTAAAATTACTGCTGCCGGTGTCAAGTGGCTCAAGGGGCTCAAGTGGCTGCAGAAGATTGCAACAGATGATGAAGATGTTCAAGAATTGGTCAGAGACATCTTTCCTGGCATGATTGTGACACCAGGCCCTCTCTGATACCGTAGCAATCCTACTACGTATGTGCCATGCCTAGGTTTGGAATCCAGAGAGGCAATGGGGGAGATTCTGCAAGATTTGTTAAAGCCCGAGCCTAGTACGGAAGTTAGGCAACACAGGCAACACAGCAGGAACTGGAAATAGGTTTATACGAGCACATTCAACACCAGAAAATATCTTCACATCGCAATCCAGAAACCAGCCTCTACATAACTGTATGTGTTTCACCGACTTAGTATACATACACCTGGTACGCATTCCTTTTCTCCCAAATTGCTGCTGTCCATTTCCATTACAAAATTATCCCCTTCAGCCTCAAAAGTGCAGAATAGTACACCCTCTTTTCAACTCTATTTGACTGGCAGGCAGTTTAGAATGGGGTTTGGTCAACAAAGTTGCCCGGGGGCGAGTAGTTGCAGACCCACATGCCGGAGCCATCGGGGCACTGAGCAGAGGCGCAGCCGACATGAGTGGTGTCGCGCCACACCACCTGCGTGTAGTGCCCACACATCTTGCCCTTCGCACACCCATCGGGAATGGGGCTGGGGGTCCAGTCCGCCTTCTCCTCCACCCATGACTGCACCGCCCCACGGTCCTCCTCGGGGGTCAGCCCCGCAGGTGACAGCCAGTAGAGGTTCTGCCCGAGCCCCTCTGCTCCGCCGTGCTCCAGAGGGCACCCTTTAGACGCCAGCTCGTTCGCCCACTCCTGTGCCGTTGCTGCCACTCCGTCGTCCCATGCCAGATCCGGCACACCCACTTCCTGCCGTGCCTTGTTGTGCTCCTCCAGAATCCCTGCGATGTCGATGCTGCCGCCGCCACCACCGCCATTGTTACCGCCATCGCCATCGCCGTTACCACCATCACCGGCACCACCATTATCACCATCACCGCCACCACCGTTACCACCATCACCAGCACCACCGTTACCACCATCACCGCCATCAGGGCAGCCATCTCCATCAGGGTCACCACCATTGTAATCAGCGCTGCTATCACCACCATTGTAATCGCTGCCGTTATCACCACCATTGTAGTCACCGCCGTTATCACCACCATTGTAATCACCGCCGTTATCACCACCATTGTAATCACCACCGTTGTAATCACCACCATAATCACCCGCTGCGTTAGTGTGTGCAGATGCCATTCCATGATTCGCACCATCATGATGCTGATAGCTGCCGAGGCGATTAGAACCCAGTGCATTGCGCGCGCGGCGCTCGTTTTCGAAAAGGCGTTCGACCACCACGTCACGGCCATGGAGTGAACCACCACCTCGACGCTGGTTCGCTGCTGCATCATGCAGGCCGATGTTTCCAAATCCGTGAGAGCCGTGATTCGCGGTGTTACGTGCAGTGCGAGACGCGCCGGGGGTTGGGGCGTATTGGAAGGCGTGACGGGCGGCGTGAGGGGCGGCGGTTGCCACGCGACTGGCAGCAGCGTGCTGACTCCAACTGGGAGTTCCGTGAGAACCAGCGCCTCTGGCAGAATACACGAGGGGATCTGACACCCTCTGTGCGAACGGCGCAGACTTGGCGTGAATTCCGCGATGCGCGTTGCGGCTGTTCGTAGATGCCGCCGCCGCCGCATTCCAAGAGACAGCGTCGTCGTCGCGGAGGAGAGCACGTCGCCACGTTTGAGCGGCCGTGCAAGAGCCGATGGCGAAAAAGAGAATGAGAGGAACCGCCACAAGCTGTTGTTTCACCAGGGTCCCCATCGAGACGCAAAGGATTAAAACTAAATCAGTGTGGGGAGAAACACGCTGCAAACTGAAAGAGGGCGATGGTTCTAATGGGGTCTGGTGTGAGCAACAAAGAGCTTGCTAGATAGGTAGAACTACGGGTTGCTGGAGAGCTGGAGGTTGCTGGTTTGTGCTTTCGAAAGATGTCTGGCTGCTGAATTTGTACTGCAAACGCTGGTTCGACATGCGGCTCGTGCAGAGTCTTTTCACGTGATGGTGACGGGTTACCGTGCCGCGTGGCGTGGTGTGAGTCGAATTCAAAATTATTTTGAAGTCAACGTCAGGGCCTGTATTTAGCGCCACTGGTCCGCTCCAAACCTTCAACGTCGAACGGGACAATGTTTCGGACCAACCAAAATGTTACGAGATATTAGACAGAATGAGTTATGAATTGTTAGATTGTTATGAATAACAAACAACGAAGCTGTGACAATATGGCCTGACCAGGGTCCTTCCAGAGGACATCATACAGGGCCCACCATTTGATCCATCAGTATCTTTTTTTTTTTTTTGTCTGACGTACGTTGGTATCATTTTTTTTTTCAAAATCACCCCTTGAAGAATCAAATGAATATACTGTACGGTGCAAGCTATAGGACCCGTCGGTAAGAAGGTCCCCCGCCCCGGGACTCTTCAATGGGTAGGAGGGCTCTTAACGTGGCAGGTTTTGTGAGGAACCCCCTTTTGCCCCTAATCATGATAATGTCAAACTATGTTTCTATATGTAGGCTGTAGTAAGGTAGCCTCTACTGAGTACAACACTTTAGGGTTACACATTGCCCTACTTGTACTCATCCTTGCTTTCTAGTCAATCATTTCTGCACACTATTCTAACATGGTATTCAGAGCAGGTCCATCCGTAGGACCGCTCCGTTAGGGCCCACCGCTAGTTTGAACTGCCCGAACTGCCGTGCCCGAACATCGAATCTCACGCTGCCCTGCCTGCGCTACCATACGCGCTCTGCCCTGCCCGTCGTGCTGCCCGCTTGCTGCATAGCGCGCGACCCGCACGCTTGTACGTAGAGGCGATTATGGGTGAGTGCTCCTCTTCGTGGCAGGCAGCCATGGACGTCGAAATGGCTTCCTGGAAGTCCGGAAGCACCTACGTCGACGAGGTTCCCCCTCCAGGGGCGAACATAGTCAATGGCATGAGGATTTTTAGAGTGAAGCGGTCGTCGGGTTCTCCGCTTGCCTTCAAGGCACGTTACGTTGCTCAAGGCTTCAGTCAGCGACAGGGGGTCGACTTCTTTCAGACCTTCTCCCCCACCCCGAAGATGACTGCTCTTCGGGTGTTACTGTCAGAGGTCCACTGGTGATCCCCGATTGATCCTAGGGAAGGGTTACAGGCACGTTGGCCTGGGTAGTTATGGGCGCACTTACCCGCAACACAAACAAGCCCTTTTATCCCAGTGGTCTAGTGGTTGGGATTCTGACAGTTATTGCACGTTGCAGCACATCGTGACTAATGCAGAGATAACCACTTCAACGGGAGCTAGACTACGGGCTAGGCACGTGGTGGGAGAGATCTGTGCCTTCGTTCCTTAGTCATTCCCTTTTGCGCACACTGCTGCGGAGATAACTTCAGCAACGGGAGCTAGACTACGGGCTAGGAACGGGTGCTCGTGTGATCTTTGCGTTCGTTCATTCCTTAGTCGTTTCCAAGTGCTCACACAACTTGCTAGTTCACGGGGAGAACCAACAAGAGTTTGATTAGGAAAAGTTGACAACAATTATAGCAACAACATTGGCATGCAAGACTACATAAGAACTAGAAAAGCTGATGGTCGACTTCCAGTGCAGCACGGTCGACCGCATGCCAGCACGACTTGGTCGACCGCGCTCCAGTAGAGCAAAGTCGCGGCTTGCCAATGTTGCAAGTCCATGGTGTGCCATCACTGCAGCAAGTCGGCTGCATAGCGTTGCACCCGCAGGACAACGATGCACCTGCTTCGCAGGTGCGCACAACTGATTGGTGCGTCACTCCTCGTCACGGGCACAACGCAGACGCCTGGCAAACTCCACGCCAGCGACTGCGCCCCACCAGCCACGTCGACCTCGGGATACCTCTTTCGAGGTCGGCCTCGCAGACCTTCCCCGGCGACCTTCGCACACGTCGCCCTGGTATCCCGGGCAACCACCTTGTCGACCGGCACCTCCTTCATATGCCCATCGACCACCCAGGTCGACGACCACCTCCATTCGGTCGCCGGCTGCACAAGCCCGGCGTCCCCAAGTTCGGCGCCCTCCAACCCGGCGCCCTGTTGCTCGACGCCCAGCTGCTCGGCGTCCTGGTACTCGACGCCCTCTAGCTCGACGTCTCCAGACTCCCCTGCCGAGGTCCACAATGGCGCCCCACCTTCGTCGACCACCAGGTCAGGTCGACCACCAGGTTTGACCACCTCAAACTCGGCGCCCTTGCAGTGGCCCCCGTGGGGGTCGACCACCCTCATCGACCAGCTCGCCCACTACTGCAGGTCGGCTGCACTCCCCCGTACACCCGACCATGAGGTCGGCTCCGCCCAAGCGAGGACGGGGCCTAACACAACTCCCGTTGACAACTGCTTTCTAGTTCAGGCGGAAATTGGCAAGAATTTCACTAGGAAAAGTTGACAACAATGGTAGCAACAATATTGGCATGCAAGACTACATCAAAGCTAGCAAGGATGCTGGTCGACCTGCAGCGCAGCATGGTCGACCGCGATCCAACACTGCAGAGTTTGCACCGCTCCAGCGCAGCAAAGTTGCGACTTGCCAGCGTTGCAAGTTCGGTGTGTGCCAACGGTGCAGCAAGTCGGCTGCGCAGCGTTCGGTGTGTGACAATGCGGAGGGTCACTTTACTAGGTAGTGAGCTAGACGACGGGGGAGTTGGCCCGAACTACTAGGAGTGATCGTAGCTTTGCTTAGTTCCTTAGCGCTTGCACATTCACGAGAGAAATTGGCAAGAGTTTCCACTAGGCAAAGATTGCATTCCAAAAAAATGAGTTCACAATGACAAGAATGACTACATCAGGCACATAGCAACTCTGCAGCTCGCCTGGTCGACCGCCAGCACAGCATGGTCGACCGCCTGCCTGCGTTGCGTAGAGGAGCCATACCAGCACTGCAGAAACATGTCCTGCCAGCACAGCAGGTCGACGGTGTGCCAACGCTGCAGCAGAGCAGCTGTCCACCGTTGCACCCATAGATGGCAGCAGTGCGCACGCCCGCAAGTGCGTGCAGACGATTTGCTTGACTTGCCTCGTTGTGCATCCGTCGGCTGTTGTCTACGCTTGACGAGCCACATTCGAGATACCAGCCCAAAGTCGCCTTCGTCACCGCGACATCGACGACGTTCGCGTGCCTTCGCAAAACTCGCTGAGCAGGTTACCTGGTCGACTTGGTCGACCACCCAGTGCTCTGGTCGACGCCCCCCTTATCGACCACAGCTCCCGTCGAGGAACACCGTGGTCGACACGCTCCTCTGTCGACCAGCACTACAGCTGCTGTCAGCGAGCTCCCCTCGTCGACTGCTACTCACATGCCCTACACATGTCGACGGATTGCTCCGTCGACCTCCCCGTCAAACTGCTCCTCCTGGTCGACAGCCCACCCATCAACGAGCTTGGTCAGTTGCATCCGTCGAGCACCCCTAGTCGACGGCTCCAGCCCCGCGACAGTCCTGTGCAGGTCGGCTACCACCTTGTCGACCTGCTCCACAAAAAAAGGCCGTCGAGCACCCTTGGTCAACGGCAACACCACAGCGATCCCCTCCAGCTCGACGAAGCCCGTCAAGTAGCTCTCTCACTGCGTATGGTTGGCTGCTTCTCCCGTGCATCCGACCAGGACGTCGGCGTCGCCCAAGCGAGGGCGGGGCCAACACTCCATTCCTGTTAAAAGACAACGGTCCACCCACTTCGCAGGTGCGCCCACTTCGCAGGTGCGCATGGCCGGTTGGACCACCACGCCTTGTCACGTGCACAGCGCAGACGCCTCGCAGAATCTACACCAGCGACTGCGCCCGCCAGCCATGTCGACCTTGGGATACCACCCCCGAGGTCGGCCTCGCAGAAGCCACCCCAGCGACATTCGCACACGTCGCCCGGGTAACATGGTCGACCGGGCAACCATGCCTGGTCGGCCAGCCCTGTCGATTGCTGGCTGCACCAGGCCGGTGTCTCCAAGCTCGGCGCCAGCTAGTGCACGCCCGGCGTCCTCCCAAATTGACCCCACCGGCTCGGCGCCCTCTTGCTCGGCGCCCTGCTACTCGGCGCACATCTCCCTTGTCCAGGTCGACGTTGGCGCCCCACACGTCGACCACCAGGTCAGGTAAGCCGCCGGCCCCCTTTCGTCGACGGCGTTGCAGTGGCCTCGTGCAGGTCGACCAAACCCGTTGACCTACATGCGGAACTCGGCGTCGCCCACTGCAGCTGCTCGGCTGCACTTCCTGTACACCCGACTACGAAGTCGGCTCCACCCAAGTGAGGACGGGCCAACCACAACTCTCGTTGACAGCTACGAGCTGCACTCCCTTGACTTCTCCACAGCTTTCTTGCAGGGCAGCTGTCACGAGGAGATCTGGCTGCGCAGCCCACATGGCTTCACTAGGCCGTTTCCTGAGGGTACCCAGTGGAGCACCGGGCAGCTAGTCTACAGTCTCCGCTCGGCGCCCCGCGAGTGGCACGACACACTGAGGACTACACTTGCGCCTCTTGTGTTTGCTCCTTCGACTGCTGACCCGTCGCTGTTTCTGCGCACCAACCCTACTCTGCCGCCGTTCTAGATCCTTGTATACATCGACGACTTGGTCTTTGTTACTGCCGATACTGAGGCGCTAGCCCTTGTGAAGGCGGAGCTGCAGAAGAGATACACTTGCAGTGACCTGGGTGAGTTGCGTAGCTATCTTGGCTTGCAGATCACCCGGGACAGAGCACGGCGCACCATCACTCTGACTCAGTCACACATGGTGCACCAGATCCTTCAGCGCAATAGCTTTTAGT